TTGTTTTCATTTATTTGCAAAAAAGTTTTTGATTGATTTATGGTAAAAGCGCTACCTTTTTATTTTTTGATTTATAAAATGCAAAACGCATCAAAAACGCACTACATTGCTTTTCTGCAGCTTTTCCATTGATGTCTATAGAACCATAAAAAAGTCCCTGACCCTTTCCAAAAAACGCACCGGGTGAAAACGCGCATGTGAACCTGTTCCATAGGAAATCATGTGAAATGGACTGTAGTGCAGTCGTTTCTGCAAAACGCTGAGGAAAACGCTTAGGTGTGAACCAATCAGAAAGAAATGACAACGAACATTAAACTAAAATCTCTTTGCTGCGGGTTACCTTTGCTCAGCTCTTTGTATTGCTTTAAAAAAAAAAAGCCAGCCATAGCATTGGCGTGTCCTGTTAACATACTCACCTGTCATCTCTTCTTGACACAGAATGGCGTTCTCTGCCGCGGCGTCTCACTTTTCAGAAAACGAGGTTGTCATTAAACTGATGGATGGGAGACGTGATAGTCTTACCTCGTCCATTAAAAAGAATGGTGTTCTGTGGCAGTCAGCTCAGGCATGCCCCACGTAAATAGTAAAACCCAAATGTGTCATATAAAATGCAAATCAATGCAGATTTTTTCCCCCAATTCGGCATCGGTAGAGGAGGAACATATCAACTGCTGGTGTTACGCTTCTGCAGGAACGGTGTGTTTTTTGCAGAGGTGTGAATTTTTTTTTTTTTTTTAAAAAAGGGAAATAAATTGGGGATCCAATCTACTTGTCCTGAGTAAAATCATTTAAAAAAAACAAAAAACAAAGGGAATAAATTGGGGATCCAATCTACTTGTCCTGATAAAATCATTTAAAAAAAAAAAAGGGAAAAAATTGGGGATCCAATCTACTTGTCCTGATAAAATAATTTTAAAAAAAAAAAGGGAATAAATTGGGGATCCAATCTACTTGTCCTGATAAAATCATTTAAAAAAAAAAAAAGGGAATAAATTGGGGATCCAATCTACTTGTCCTGATAAAATCATTTTTTTTTTTTTTTTTTTAAAAAAGGGAATAAATTTGGGGATCCAATCGGTACTTGTCCTGATAAAATCATTTTTTTTTTTTTTTTTGAATAAAATCCAATACTATGTCCTGATAAATCATTTTTAAAAAAGGGAAGGAAAAATTTGGGATCCAATCCTACTTGTCCTGATAAAATCATTTAAAAAAAAAAAAGGGAATCAAAATTGGGGATCCAATCTACTTGTCCTGATAAAATTATTTAAAAAAAAAAAAAAAAAAGGGAATAAATTGGGGATCCAATCTACTTGTCCTGATAAAATCACTTTTTTTTTTTTTTTTAAAAAAAAAAGGGAATAAATTGAGGATCCAATCTACTTGTCCTGATAAAATCATTAAAAAAAAAAAAAGGGAATAAATTGGGGATCCAATCTACTTGTCCTGATAAAATCATTTTTTTTTTTTTTTATACAAAAAAAAGGGAATAAATTGGGGATCCAATCTACTTGTCCTGATAAAATCATTTTTTTAAAAAAAAAGGGAATAAAAATCCAATCTACTTGTCCTGATAAAATCATGCATTTTTTTTTTTAAAAAAAAAGGGAATAAATTGAGGATCCAATCTACTTGTCCTGATAAAATCATCGTTTAAAAAAAAAAAAAAAAGGGAATAAATTGGGGATCCAATCTATACTTGTCCTGATAAAAAATCATTTTTTTTTTTTTTAAAAAAGGGAATAAATTGGGGATCCAATCTACTTGTCCTGATAAAAATCATTTTTTTAAAAAAAAAAGGGAATAAATTGGGGATCCAATCTACTTGTCCTGATAAAATCATTAAAAAAAAAAAAAAAGGGAATAAATTGGGGATCCAATCTACTTGTCCTGATAAAATCATTTTTTTTTTTTAAAAAAAGGGAATAAATTGGGGATCCAATCTACTTGTCCTGATAAAATCATTTTTTTTAAAAAAAGGGAAATCTCTAAATTGGGGATCCAATCTACTTGTCCTGATAAAAATCATTTAAAAAAAAAAAAAAAAAGGGAATAAATTGGGGATCCAATCTACTTGTCCTGATAAAATCATTTTTTAAAAAAAAAAAAAAAGGAATAAATTGGGGATCCAATCTACTTGTCCTGATAAAATCATTTAAAAAAAAAAAGAAAAGGGAACAAATTGTGGATCCAATCTACTTGTCCTGATAAAATCATTTTTTTTTTTTTTTTTTTTTTTTAAAAAGGGAATAAATTGGGAATCCAATCAACTTGTCCTGATAAAATCATTTAAAAAAAATAAAAAAATAAAGGGAATAAATTGGGGATCCAGTCTACTTGTCCTGATAAAATCATTTAAAAAAAGGGAATAAATTGGGGATCCAATCTACTTGTCCTGATAAAATTAATTAAAAAAAAAAAAAAAAAAAGGGAATAAATTGGGGATCCAATCTACTTGTCCTGATGAAATCATTTTTTTTTACAAAGGGAATAAATTGGGGATCCAATCTACTTGTCCTGATAAAATCATCTAAAAAAAAAAAAATAAAAAAGGGAATAAATTGGGGATCTAATCTACTTGTCCTGATAAAATCATTAAAAAAAAAAAAAAAAAAAAAAGGAAAATCATTTAAAAAAAAAAAAAAAAAAGGGGGGATCCAATCTACTTGTCCTCCTGATAAAATCATTTAAAAAAAAAAAAAAAAAGGGAATAAATTGGGGATCCAATCTACTTGTCCTGATAAAATCTTATTTTTGCCAGGATAGAAGGGTTAATGTTTTTATTAGGCAGAGGTGCTTTTAAAAACGAAAGGGGCTTCATGGCAACTTAAACTGATAGAACATTTCTTAGAACCCCCAAACATATTTTTTAAAGCAGAGGCCCTGGAGAATAAATTGGCGAGTTTTGCAAAATTTTTTTCTTTTGTAATGCAATGTTTGCGCAGCATTTTTTCAAATAGAATTTTTGAAAAAAAAAAAATACACTCTTGAATTTTAAAGCAAAAAAAAAAAACCACAATACTAAACTAAATTTTACTTTCTATAGGTGACTTTTTAACAGCCTTTACAGATTACCAGCTTAGATTTACAGAGGAGGTCTAGTGCTAGAATTACTGCCCGTGATCTGACGTTCTCAGTGATACATCACATGTGTGGGCAGATTGCTGTGTGTGTGAAGGACTGACACGTGTGTTCGCCTTTGTGTGCAGGGGTGCTTTAAAAAAAAAAAAGTCATTTTTTTTTTACACGGTCGCTTTATTTTTTTTTATTTTTTTATCACTTTTTAAGGTTTTTTTTTTTTTCACTTTTATTGCTGTCACAAGGAATGGAAACACCTCTTGTGACAGCATTAGGCAGTGACAGGTGATCTTTATTGAGCGATCTGGTGTCAATAAGACCCCAGATCCCTCCCCATATGGGGAGGCAGATTGCCGTGTGTGTGGAGGACTGACGCATGTGTTCGCCTTTGTGCGCGGGGGTGCTTTAAAAAAAATTAATGTATTTTCTTTTACACGGTCACTTTAATTTTTTTCTTTTTTTATCACATTTTATTGCTGTCACAAGAAACGTAAACATCCCTTGTGACAGCATTAGGCAGTGACAGGTGATCTTTATTGAGCGATCTGGTGTCAATAAAGACCCAGATCCCTCCCCATATGGGGAGGCAGATTGCTGTGTGTGTGGGAGGACTGACGCATGTGTTCGCCTTTGTGCGCGGGGGTGCTTAAAAAAAAAAAAAATGTATTTTCTTTTACAAGGTCACTTTAATTTTTTCTTTTTTTTATCACTTTTATTGCTGTCACAAGAAACGTAAACATCCCTTGTGACAGCATTAGGCAGTGACAGGTGATCTTTATTGAGCGATCTGGTGTCAATAAGACCCCAGATCCCTCCCCATATGGAAGAAAAATATATTTGAAATATATTTTTAAAATATTCTTCCCGAATGTATTGACATATTTTCGAAATGCTACAATTTTGGCCATATTCAATATATTTCAAAATATATTTCAGTAAAAAAAAAAAAAAAAAAAAAAATAAAATAAAAAAAATATATATATATTACTGTATGTGTATGTATATATATATATATATATATATATATATATATATATACATTTCAAATATACTGTGTGTCTTTAAAAATACTAATCTACATTTTTGGAATGCATTTACTAATATATGTAAAAGTATATGTAAAAATGACTTTTTTATATTATATGTTAAAAAAAATCTGAAGAATATATTTTGTGTGAGGACTCTATCATGTGATCACTGATTGGCCAGTCATTGATCACATGAATAGTAGTAAGCAAGCTGACATCATTGCTTACTACTTGTGAAATCTATGAATGATCACAGCGATCACATGGTACAAGGCCATTCACAACAGCCTTGTACCATGTAACAAGCTGTGACCAATCACAGCTCTCACAGTATTTCTCAATGGCTGCAAGAATGCAGCCAGAGAGAAGGAGAAATGATTGCGATTACAGCCTCTATGGGTGTAAACGCAATCAGTGTAAAAAAAAACAAAAAACCTTCATCACCCCCCACAAGTAGTAGTGTCACTATGGTGACATTGTACTGCTAGGGTGACCGTATGTTAATGAAAAAAATAAATTAAAAATGTAAAAAAATGTTTTTGAAAAATTATAATTTTTGATTATAAACTATTGTATTTTTCGCTCCATAAGACACACTTTTTCCCCCCCAAAAAGGGGGGAAAATGTCAGTGCGTCTTAAGGAGCGAATAAAAAGCGGCCGGTCCCGTTATTTATGCCACCACCATGTCAGAATACCGAGCCGGCCGCTCAGCTGTTCTCTGCAGCAGGAACTCACATGTTCCTCGGTCCAGCGCTGTAGTCTTCCCGCGCCAGCATCTGTGACAGCCGGGTGCCCACTGCAAATGCGCAAGAAGCGCTGCGCTTTGTGAATGGTCCGGTGTCTTCTTCTGGGACACATGACAGGTCCCAAAAGACGCCGGGCCATTCACAAAGCGCAGCGCTTCTCGCGCATGCGCAGTGGGCACCTGGCTATCAAAGTCGGGTGCCCACAGTATAGGAAGGAGAACTCCGTGGAAGTGGGAGCGAGTACCTGTCAAATTCAGGTACCTGCTCCCCCTCCCTCCCTAAAGGTCCGCAGTCTCTGTTCATCCCCTGTACTGTCAGCAGTCTCTGGTCAACTCCTGTACTGTCCGCAGTCCCTCTGGTCATCTCCTGTACTGTCCGCAGTCTCTGTTCATTCCCTGTACTGTGCGCAGTCTCTGGTCATTCCCTGTACTGTCCGCAGTCTCTGTTCATCCCCTGCACTGTGTCCGCAGTCTCTGGTCATCTCCTGTACTATGTCCGCAGTCTCTGTTCATCCCCTGTACTGTCCGAAGTCTCTGGTCATCTCCTGTACTGTGTCCCCAGTCTCTGGTCATCTCCTGTAATGTGTCTGCAGTCTGTGGTCATCTCTTGTACTATGTCCGCAGTCTCTGGTCATTCCTGTAATGTGTCCGCAGTCTCTGGTCATCTCCTGTACTATGTCTGCAGTCTCTGGTCATCCCCTGTACTATGTCTGCAGTCTCTGGTCATCCCCTGTACTATGTCTGCAGTCTCTGGTCATCTCCTGTACTATGTCTGCAGTCTCTGGTCATCTCCTGTACTATGTCTGCAGTCTCTGGTCATCCCCTGTACTATGTCTGCAGTCTCTGGTCATTTCCTGTACTATGTCCGCAGACTCTGGTCATCTCCTGTACTGTGTCCGCAGTCTCTGGTCATTTCCTGTACTATGTCTGCAGTCTCTGGTCATTTCCTGTACTATGTCCGCAGACTCTGGTCATCTCCTGTACTGTGTCCGCAGTCTCTGGTCATTTCCTGTACTATGTCCGCAGACTCTGGTCATCTCCTGTACTGTGTCCGCAGTCTCTGGTCATCTCCTGTACTATGTCCGCAGTCTCTGGTCATCTCCTGTACTATGTCCGCAGTCTCTGGTCATCTCCTGTACTATGTCCACAGTCTCTGGTCATCTCCTGTACTGTGTCCGCAGTCTCTGGTCATCTCCTGTACTATGTCCGCAGTCTCTGGTCATCTCCTGTACTGTGTCCGCAGTCTCTGGTCATCTCCTGTACTGTGTCCGCAGTCTCTGGTCATCTCCTGTACTATGTCCCCAGTCTCTGGTCATCTCCTGTAATGTGTCCGCAGTCTCTGGTCATCTCCTGTACTATGTCCGCAGTCTCTGGTCATCTCCTGTACTATGTCCACAGTCTCTGGTCATCTCCTGTACTATGTCCGCAGTCTCTGGTCATCTCCTGTACTATGTCTGCAGTCCATTGGTTCAGAATATTTTTTTTCTTGTTTTTCTCCTCTAAATCCTAGGCGCGTCTTATGGAGAAAAATATGGTAATTTGGGTTATTTTATTTTTTTTTTTACTAAAAAGATAGCTGAATACATTTTGGACAAGATTTATGAAGCAAGATTATTTATTTGCAAAATGTTATAAGAAAAACACTTTTTTTTTTCAAAATGTTTGAACATATACCTATAAATATATATATATAAAATCCCAGTGAATAAAAACCACCAAAATAAAGTTTATCTGTCTCAAAAAAAGCTAAAAAATTAATATGGGTACAGTGTTGCATGACCGCGCAATTGTCATTCAAAGTGTGATAGCGCTGAAAGCTGAAAATTGGCCTGGGCAGGAAGGGGTGGAAATATCCGGACTTGAAGTGGTTAACGTTCTCTTGACAAGAGGAATTTTATATTTGGATTTAAAGAGGTTAATGATCATTTTTGGACCTTCTTTATAGTTATCCGTGTGGTTATACTGAGGGATACATCGGTATCCGAATTCCCGCGCATGAACGCCTGGCGAAGGTGTCGCTGTCACTGTATCAGAGTTTCCCCTTGTCTGTAGATCCGGAATATTCCAGGCAGATATAACGCGGAGAGTTCATTTACATGGGGCACGTCGCCTCCTGCAGCTTGTGGCAGCTGTCGCGCTCGGCGGGCTCAGGCTGCAGATGCGGCCTATCCCATTATAGGTTGGCATTATGGTATGTTGCCGCACAGGGTGATACATTGCGTCTGCAGAATGACGATGATGAGGTCACATGACAGATGCATAGCCTGTGCCGCTCTGAAAAATGGTATAGATTACTCCCTGAGAAGGAGAAGTTTGTCTTCTGAGTAGTAGTTCTGGGATTCTTCCTTAAAGAAGATCTCCTGGCAAGCAGTGAGACACATACAGTATATGGAAACTGTTTTCCCTGCCTATGAATTTTCAATTCTGTTCAGCAAGCGCTGTGATCCAGACGGCCAGACAGCACCCTGCCAGCAGCACAGCTCACAAACCGTTAGTTAAATTCAAACCAGGAGCGTGTATGTGCAGGTTTCCTGAGCCGTGACATCCTTCCAGTCCTTGTAGGGTAAAGCGGAACTCCAGACACATGACATTTTACTTAAAAAGAAACAACAATGGTCATAGAATTGGAAAGTTTTGATGAACTATTTGTCGGAGAATACACATCCAGTGCGTTTCAGGGGTTCAGATAGTCCGCCTTCATCAGGGCTCATACAAGGGCTGTACCAAAAGTAATGCAAAGGTGTTCAGAATTTTTTTTAAGTTATGTAGTTCATTCACATTTCAAATGTTGGTAGAGTAACCCTTCTTCTATAGCAGGGTGTCAAACTCGATTTCATCGTGGGCCGCATCAGTAGTATGTTTGCCCTCAAAGGGCTGGTTGTATTTCGGGTGCGCTACATACAGAGTGCAGGGTTCAGGGTGTGCTACATACAGAGTGCAGGGTTCAGGATTACGCTACATACAGAGTGCAGGGTTCAGGATTACGCTACATACAGAGTGCAGGGTTCAGGATTACGCTACATACAGAGTGCAGGGTTCAGGATTACGCTAAGTGCAGGGTTCAGGATTACGCTACATACAGAGTGCAGGGTTCAGGATTACGCTACGTGCAGGGTTCAGGATTACGCTACATACAAAGTGCAGGGTTCAGGATTACGCTACGTACAGAGTGCAGGGTTCAGGATTACGCTACGTGCAGGGTTCAGGATTACGCTACATACAGAGTGCAGGGTTCAGCATTACGCTACATACAAAGTGCAGGGTTCAGGATTACGCTACGTACAGAGTGCAGGGATCAGGATTATGCTACGTACAGAGTGCAGGGTTCAGGATTACGCTACGTACAGAGTGCAGGGTTCAGGATTACGCTACGTACAGAGTGCAGGGATCAGGATTACGCTACGTACAGAGTGCAGGGTTCAGGATTACGCTACGTACAGAGTGCAGGGTTCAGGATTACGCTACGTACAGAGTGCAGGGTTCAGCATTATGCTATGTACAGAGTGCAGGGTTCAGCATTATGCTATGTACAGAGTGCAGGGTTCAGGATTACGCTACGTACAGAGTGCAGGGTTCAGGAGTGCGTTACGTACAGAGTGCAGGGTTCAGGAGTGCGCTACGTACAGAGTGCAGAGTTCAGGAGTGCATTATGTAGAGAGTGCAGGAGTCAGTAGTGTGTTGCGTACAAAGTGCAGGGTTTGGGGGTGTGCTATGTACAGAGTGCAGAGTTCAGGAGTATGCTACAGAATGCAGAGTTCAGGAGTGCAGTACATACATGGTGCAGGGTTTAGGGGTGCTGTATGCATACTGAGTGCATCACCAACCCCCCCCCCCCTCCCTACCTGGCCCAGCTCCAGTAACTCCCTATGTAGGTGGCTCTAGTGCTGCCTTTTCTAAAACCCATGCATGTGGCTTTGTTATACCTCCCTGTGTAGGTCGCGCTTCCTTACAGGAAGATCATTCTCACTCTCTGATTCTGGAAAGCTGCCCTCGCTGTAAGGGATCGGTTACATCTGGGAGCGGAGCCGTTGACATCAATGTTGTCCCTTGTAAATGCAGAAGGCTTCGGTATTTACAAGTGACAGTGGAGAACGGGAGCGGAGGGGGAGGACTGGAGGGGGAGGAGGAATGGAGTTCTGCTACATTCTGACTTCAAAACTGGGTGGGAGGGCCACATGACAAGGCCTGGTGGGCCAGATTGGACCCGCAGGCCTTGTGTTTGACATATGTGCTCCATAGTAACTCTTCTTCTTTTTTCATTGCTGGTAAATAGTGGATTCAAAGCAGAAGAGATGTGCCATCCTTGAGTTCTGGACGGAGGGATGCCGGCTGTTCAACATCCATAGAAAGTTGCTGATTGTTTGAGAAGATGACACCATTAACGAGCAATAACTTTTCATTGGGGACTTTTGTCTATGGTGTCATCTCTGTACACTTCTGTGGATGTCGGGCACTCTACAAACCCTCCTTCCTCAAGAACTCAGTGATGGCATATTGCTTCTGCTTTGAATCCATTATTTACCTGCACTGAAAAAGAAGAAAAGTTACTATAGAGAAAGAGTTACTCTACCACCATGTGAAATGTGAACAACCTATGTAGGCTGATAAAAGTTATTCCCACTTTTGCATCACATTCGGTGTAGCCCTTGACTAGGATTTTGATAATACTGACCTTGCTGTTGTTCCTAATGATCTTACCAAAGACTCAGGAGGATGTTATACATACTTATCAGGCCGGTATTTCTGGTGGTACAGCCAAAGGGATATGGAATGACCAGGACAATGGGCACTGTGGAGTTGCTGGAAGTCCTTTATCAAGGAGGACTTCTTCCATCAAACTTTATATAGCGCTGTTAATTTACGCAACATATATATTGTACATTCACATCGGTCCCTAACCCTCAGGTGGCGTACAATCTAAGGTCCCTAACTCACATTCATACATACACATACTAGAGCCAATTAACCTACGAGCATGTCTTTGGAGTATGGAAGGAAACCGGAGAACCTGGAGGTAATTCACGTAGGCCAAGGGAGAGTCTGCAGACCCCAGGCAGGTGGTGCCGTGGTTGGGATTCAAACCGATGACCCTAGTGCAACTAGGCTGAAGTGCTAACCACTTACCCACTGTGTCTAAAAATTATTCTGGACACTATGGCCATTGTTGTGACACCGTTACTACTTTTTTTTTTGCATATTTAACATTAAAATCTGAAAAGAACTTCTGACCTTGTCCACTCTATCCAAAATTAATAAAAGGTATTGGCCAGAGTTGGCCTTCATTTATGATTATAGGCAGAATTGCTAACCACTTACCCACTGTGCCTAAAAATTATTGTGGACACTATGGCCATTGTTGTGGCACCATTACTACTTTTTTTTTGCATATTTAACATTAAAATTCCAAAAGAACGTCTGACCTTGTTCACTCTATCCAAAATTAATAAAAAGATATTGGCCAGAGTTGGTCTTCATGCATCATTTGTGATTAGAGGCAGAAGTGCCAACCACTTACCCACTGTGCCTAAAAATTATTGTGGACACTATGGCCATTGTTGTGACACCGTTACTACTTTTTTTTTTTGCATATTTAGCATTAAAATTCCAAAAAAACTTCTGACCCTTGTCCACTCTATCCAAAATTAATAAAAGATATTGGCCAGAGTTGGTCTTCATGCATCATTTGTGGTTAGAGGCAGAAGTGCTAATCACTTACCC